CAATGTATTTTCATTCCAAGACTTCAGTATTCTATCTTTATTGTCATTACTATACGTTCCAGTTTCGTATTGAAAAAAGATTTAAACTGATTTAATATCGTTAAAAATAAGGAAAGTTCTCTAGAAGGTTTCGTAATGAGTTTCACATTTTTTTWAAAACTGTAATTGCAAACTGATTCATATTTTTTCAAGGTATTTTTCACTCGAGGTTTTTTAACGGAAAATTAAACTGTCGATATAATCTTATTCGTAATCATCGTTCTCCTCGCCTTCATGGGAACCAGATCCTGAGAAAGCCAACATTTCCATGACTTTATCAGAGAAAAAGAATAAGACCAGGATAAGAACAAACAAAACAACAACAAATATAATAAAGAAGGGCTGACGGAAGTTCAGATATTTTCTTATAACACCAGGGTCAAATTGATCGGCCTTCTCTTCAATGTGGTCCTGCGCAAAACGAAGCATCTGTCTCAAGGCCAGCAGTGATAAACTGTTGACATGCGTATTAAGATCGGTCTCCCATTCGTAATTCTTGATTGGAAAGATCTTATTGGTTGGCAAGCCCTGGAACTTCTTGCTGATCATGCGCACTGTGTTTTGTATTCGCTGGCTGTGGAAGACATGGAGTAAGTTTTCACGAGTCTGAGTGCAGGCCAGGTCTATTTTGGTCAACAGTACGACTAACGGGATTCCTAAAACACAACAAAAAGATTATTCAAAAGAACATTAAAGAGCATTCATAGTGTATTTCAGTTTAGAGTTCTTCGTTGTTCATGATCGGAGTCTCAGAACATTTGACCAAAAATCAATTCATGGATTTGAGGTGATATAATTTCTACCGAAGTAAACTCACCAGTTCTCAAAATATTCTTATCTCAAAAACTTCTGTGTGTTATATATGTCGCTGATAGGGGGATTTCAACCTTTTTGTGATACTTACGTCTAGCGTTGAGTGCGTCTTGCAGTAGCTGGTATTTCTGCCACATCGATTCTGGCATTTTATCCACAGTTGATGAATCGATGACTAAAGTAACGCAGTGAGCCCTCTGGGAATGACTGGGTGACTCGATAAATCCTGGACTATCAGGAGTGATGCGCTCGTAAGGATTAAACTGGAGACAGAAATCGAACATTGAAATCATTAGCTTGTATGAGGTTGTTCTCTCTATCGACTAATGTGAACTGATGAACTGCCATTGCCAGTTTGCGCAATTTTGCCCGCTAAATTCGAACCTCCCAAGGAGCCCGTCTTTTAGGAGCTAAATGCTAACTTACCCTAAATCTGTTAGGAATGTTGCCGTCCACCAAATAGAGCAGCTCTGCTACAGTCAATCCATCCTTGGGCAGGAGTCCAGCAGTGTCGCAGATCTTCCATTTGAATGGTTTACCAAGCGGTGACGACATAACGTCATACGTGCGAAACTACAAATAGGATTGAAATAAATAATTTTTTTTAGGAACTTGTTATATGAAACTCACTGGTCTTAGTTTTCTCTCTCAAATGTATCATATACTACGTTTTAGGAACTGACAATGAGTAACGGTACTGAACTAGTTAGTACTGCGTGGGTGAATGTGTCTAATATCACAAGTAAACGTTTCGGACTTTAGTCGTTCGTCGTAGCAACAAAAAAGGGTAACACTTACCATGGTAGTAACACTATGATCAGCATTATGACCAGTCACAGCCTGACTAGTAACATAACCACGGAAGATCGAGTTGATGGTGTTGAAAAAGCTTGATTTGCCTGATCCAACCTCACCGATCAGAAGCAGTCGAAAGTCTGAGATACTAAGTGTGTTTGAGGTTAATGGCTTGATGTTACACACTTCTTGGAGCAGTTTACTTGGAAACCTGAAACGACAATGAAGTAACTTCAAGTCATGTCCAACTAAGGATTGTCTAACGGTTTTCCATCAATAAAAAAGCGATAGTTTTTTAACTCAAGGGCAGTCGTTTTTCAGGTCAAGAATGGACGATATCGGAAATGTCCACGCGAATGCAACAGTGTTGGGTGTGGCGCAAAAAAGTAMAAAAAAAAATCGGACGAAACCAATGTAGGATTTTATCGGTTTTTGAAGTAAATCAGGTTAAAGGAATTGATCTGCTTTGGTTTCTTTTTTCTTCATTTGTTGTGATGTCCAAACACAGGGAACTAAGGTCAATCCATCTACGAAGCAAACTAACCATACCTTAAGTTTTCATCCATTTTCGTTCGTTGTGGATAAATGTGAATCAGAGAGAAGAATGGAATAACTGTTTTCCAGCTGACAGATGTGAAATAATATGCGAGAAATGCTCGTTCCAATCAGACCAATTAGAATCGAATTTTATATGGCCAAGGAGTAGGCTGTACTATGATGTCATTGATTTCTAATTAGAACTAAGCGCGCGCAGCCAGTGACATGGGTACGAATGAAATTGAAAATTAATTTGGTACATGTGGCGCGTTTTTCATGGCAAAATTTAAACATGGGTGGCGTAGCGGTGAGAGTGCTCGCCTCTCACCAATGCGACCCGGGTTCGAGTCCCTACGAGCTCGGTGTTGTATGTGAGTTGAGTTTGTTTGTTGGTTCTCTCCTGTGCTTCGAGGGTTTTCCGGGTTCTCCGGTTTTCCTCCCTCCGCAAAAACCAACTTCTAAATTCCAATTCGATCTTGGGCTTTCACCTACCTACTGTGGGTTCCGTTCGTGATTGTACCACTCTGTGATTACAGAGAAAAACTGATAGATTCAATCCATTCGAATGAAAAAGAAAATAACTTGAAAGCTTTAAAATTAGGAATTGATTTGACGAGAATTTTGACCGTCGTTTATAGCGATTGGTTCGTTCAAAGAAGAGTAATACCGACATGATGCTGCATAGGATTATGGAGCTGAATGAGGTCCAATCGCGAGGATGATATCAGTCTTCTTTTGGTAGTCGGACAAGCGTTTTTATGAAAAAAAAAAAAAAAAAAATGCATAAGACACATAGGGATCTTACCATTTACGGAAAAAAAAAAAAAAAAAAAAAAAACGCGCTGGCAAAGGAGGGAGGATTATTTCTTATCCTTGAAAGAGAATCTGGATTTTGTTCCCTGAATAAACGAATTCTCGGCTTTTGGCATAGGAATTCGAAATCCGAGCTCAAGTTTGCAGTGTTGATGGACTTTCTTTGAACTTTTTATAAACCGGCACTTACTTTTGCACTGTTTCTTTTTATCTGGTTTCTCTCCAGTAGGACATTCTTTGAGACAGCGGGTACCATCTTCTGATTTAGCATAACGACACTCGTTACATTCAGTCGCTTTTGGTTCTCCTTGTGAGCTATATTTGCATCCTAAAAAAAAGGAGACTGGTTTAGAATTGATCCGTACAACCTGGTCGGAGACTTAAACAAAAAATGTCTGTGGTACGTTTGTAAATTTGATCATGATTATCCAAAAATGTATCGGCAAATGAATGATGGTGATCGCTTTTGCAAGTGTAAAACATTTGGCGGGAAAAAATGTTGTTAAACCACTCGCTTTCTATTTTAAGACCTCTACTTAGAATAACTCCCTTCAGCTGTTACGACTCCAGCTGTGCCTACCTGCTATTGGGTCGCAGGTTTCGTGACACTTCTGTACGCAATTGTCACCATCAGCTTGAGTGTCTCCTTTGCATGTTGTTTTAGTTTTGGCACGTGAAAAGACATGAGAATCCACCACTTGCGCAGGCTCTTTGTTATTACCAAATGAATAAAAGCGAACGTGAAGCACATCATGGTATTCATTCATTGATAAGTAGACGTTTCCGGTTTCTGTTGTTCCCATAGACTTGCCATACTCGATGAGTGTACCTCTACTAGTCGTTGTTTCCGTAATGCAGACAAAGTAGGACTGAAACAAAATGGGGTCTCCAAGGGCTACGGCATTTTTATTGACTGTTGATACCTTCAGTGTGTTTCCCTGCAAAGTTGGATTCATGATTGTACCATCTATCACTGTAATAAATACTTCGATACGTGTCTGTTGTATAATGGCAATTCAAGGATATACACCTATTTCAATAAACGTTGTGGGTTGGCCGATCTGAAATTTGAAAACTGAGGGAAAGTAACATGCTCTGAAACACCATAGTTTCCTTTTACTATTGGAATATGAAGCAAGTTAGAAATTGTGATCTTTCGTATGTTAGAAAGAAAACATTAAAGCACAAATATTCCGTCTAATAGGTCGCCCATCTTAGAACTCCAACCGACAACGTTTTTAGAAATAGGTGTATATCCAATCATTAGTCATTTGGAGGAAATCCCTTTAAAGAGAAATTTCGTCGTCAGGCAAGGCTTCTAGTTACAGTATAACATTATACATCTTGGAAACTGTATTTCACATCATTCTGGATTTCAATTCATGAAAATATTATGCTTTCTTATCAATCTTGCAACAGGAACATTTTGGTTAAGAATGAATTGTCTAAGGCGAAATCAAAAAATATAACACGTGGATATACTTTACCTTGTAAATGCCGACTCTATATGGTGATAACTCAACGTAGTACCAAGTGTCTTTGTCACTAGGTACCGCCGAGAAAACTACATACAGAGTACCTTTGGTAGAAGCTGTGAAATGAAGACATTTGCCATCTTTGTCACCTGGGTCAAATCTGAGCCCGTTGGACCACTGGACGTTACAAAGTGAAGGTGGCAAAGAAGATCCTACTTGGGTTTTACTTTTCTTATTAGCGTTGCCTGATAGAAGTTTCTTCTCTGTCCATTCGACTTGCGCAAGCTTCTTATTTACTAAAAGTTCACTTAAAGCTGGAAAGTAATTCTTAGAATCTGAATAATCTGCTTTGTATAGAACAAGGCTACCATCGCTTTCGTCATACTTCAGGACAAGGCCAAATATGGAAATTTTCTCATTGCCAAGATCAGCGCTTCCACCGTTACTAAAACCACCGTACCAATGGAATTGTCCTCGTTCGTTGGCAGTGACCCACTTGTTTTCTCTGTAGAAAAAGAGCAAAGCCTATCCATCAATATATCATTATTTATTTCGAAAATAGAGGACTCGAGATCATGCCTGAGTATGATAAGCTAATCCGGCTCATGAAGCCAAAACAAATAATTTAACAAAGCCTCATCGATAACTCATGCTCGAGAAATAATAATAATAATAATAATAAAGTTTGTTTAGTTACCGGTATCGAACAAGTCTTGACATTGACTTTTGGATATCTATACCCCCATTAGGTGCTCCCTTCAAATCTTCAAGAAGGTCGAAAGTTACGCGGAAGGTAGCTGGGCTAGTTCCAGTTGTCATCTCCGACCAGGAGGGTTTTTTGACATTCGTAGGAGATTCCTGACTTTCACATCCAGGTTCACCAGCTGGAAGACTGACATCTGATATGGACATTGCGCCCTGAAAATGTTAATACGCGTCCCTCGCATTAAAAGTTTAATCGCACTTAGTCTGTACATGAACTTATATGGAAGTATGCAGTAAAGAGAAAAACATGTTAGATAAAGCAGTGGCACAGCAAGAAGAGCCGTCTATGAAGTTCAAAGGAAAAAAAAAAAAACGAATATGCGTAAGAAAGAAAACCGAAGATCCAGAGCAAAGTACTGACAAACATTATAAACCAGAAAATTAATGCAAATGCGGTAATGTCATATCATCTGGTAGTGCTAAACAACAACGATAAACCATGTAGGATCTCTGAGTTACTGAATTACATCAGTTCCATTTCACCGAAAGACACATTAGTTTCATACCTCTTCCAAGTAAACTTCAATTGCTCTCTTCAGGCTCATACGTTTGAGTTTCAGTTTGCTTTTCAGATCGTCTCTACTCCCAAACTCACAATACACTCTCTTATTGTCGGCCATGTAGTAGAACTTTTGTGTTTCTTTGTCTTGCTTTAAGCTGTCTTGATGAACTTCACATCCCCAGTTGACCTTTTCATCCGGAAACAAATCGCTAGCACGGAAGTCCAACAGGTCAGTGATAGATCCCATGAGGAACTTGAAGGCCTTTGGATATGTGGGTATGCTCTCTAGCCATTCCTGAACCATGAGATGCACATATTGTTAAATAATTAGTTATGTAAATCTGTGCATTTTGTTGAGAAAAACAACAACAGCATGACAGACATGTCTTTTTATCGGCCATGAATAATTCTTTATTTACCGTAAACTGGGTCTTGAATGTAGGTGAATACATATCAGAAATCACCGCTGCTATTTTCTGACTTCCTCCTTGCACAACTACAGATGTTGACATGTAGCTCTGTTGTGACTGGGACGAGCTGCCAGATTTGGTGCTTGATTTTGCTCCTGCACTCCAAAACAGACTTTTGAACTCAACCTCGCTCTCTGCGGCAAATTCTTCCTTGCTGGCGGTTTTGCTTGCCAGTTGTGTTTTTCGTAGTTCCAGCTGACCACCAAACCTGGCAGACTTGATGTAGTGAGTTCCCCATCGAAGGATGAAGTTCTCTGAAATAAATAGATTCCTTAAGTTTCTTTTGATGAAATCCATTATGAATTATAATTCATTTTACCTTTGTGAGCATTTGCCGCTTTTGGTAAAGCTTTTTCACGAATAGTAATTACAATTGCATGTCCCACTATAGTGACAATTTCGCTTTAGTAAGTGGACAATGTACTTGGTAACTTACGGAATTTAGCTGGAGCACCAGGAGCAAAATATGAAGTGGGAAGATCGACAAACTCTCTAAGGAAATTCCTACTCAAATCTTTTGGCTTCACTTCGTCTTGAAAGATCTCATATCTGGTAACAGCAATAGTAACAACAATAGTAATAATCGATCTTTCGATAATAATGACAACAACAACGACAACGAAGAAGAAGCATGACAAGTGTCGTTAAAGAGTTTAATGAACGGTACCAAGACCTACCTGTCCACATCGATATCAAAGATGGCAAGATTGGTTTGTTTTGCGCCGCTTTCGGAGCTTCCCCACGCACTCTTGACGCCAGCGTAGAATCCAAAAACGGACCCCGACACTCCTGCTTCTAATTGTAAATACTTTTGATACTCAGATCTTGACGTAAATACGGTCATACTTGCTGTTGTATCGTAGATCCCATGAACGTTCATCGTGTCTGGCACTTGAAGATTGTCATAACTGCGAGAAGAGAAAAATCCAGGTATAATAAATTGGCAAGGAAGTGTAATACTAAAAAGGAGTGAAGGATATGCATTATAACTAGAATAACGGAAGGGCTTATATCTTTGACTCAGTACGACTTACGAGGCTTTACCAGCACAGCTTCTCTGGATGATACTCATCTTCCTGGACTCAGGGCTGTATTGACCACGACCATCAAAACCAACACCAATGAATGCAGCACCATCAATCATGTCCTAAATACAAAAGTAGATCTGAATAGGTCTAGACTTGTTATTTTATTTGACTAGATCCAATGTTTCATCTTGACAAGACGTTTATCGCAACACAGTTGTTCCTTGGCTTAACTTTCCTAAGTATGGAGAGAACCACGTAGGCGAGATTTCTGTCTATTTTTAGATCATTCTCTAGCGTTTTTAATCAACAGAACAAAAGTTAATTAATAGAAGAGCGGACTGCAGCTTCTGCTTTTGGGCTACTTTTTTGTTTCCTCGTGAAATATTAATGAAACAGGACCAGGGCGTAGGCAGTAGTAATGAGGCAATGAATTACTCACCCTGCATTGCTCAGATGCCTCCAGAGCATCAAAACAAGGGTCCCCTTTCTTGTAGCCAGTCCCCCAGCAACCATTCATGATCATGTTCCCCATGCCTGCTGGGTAGGTGTAAGGCTGTGGGTCATTAGACTCGTCAGGTTTGCCTTGGCCTTCAACTTCTGCTTGGATGTGATAACCCGGTGGAATAAACATATCTTCCGTCGCCCATGCCTTTTCTGGAGTAACATCTAGTTTGATCTGGTGAAGAAGATAAAATACAGTTACTATCATATTAATAGATGTTCATTTACGCTTTGATTTATATGCTAATTGGCAATCAAACTCGGCCATTCAATACAATACAATCGTTTATTTAATCACGTGTCGTCCAGGAGCTGGTTAAACTAAGCTCGTTCAAAATACGGACGTGCAATAATTATTACAATCTAATTAGTAAATACATATATATATATATAAATATAGATATTTAGATAATGCTAAGAATTAAATACTGAGAATAAACTAAAAACTAGTTAAGATATTTAAATATGAGAAGTAACTGTTCGTGTTCCAATCCTCAAGTCTCAAGGAAGTAAATTCATTAACGAGTTACAACTTTCCGCTCGCCATAACCCATTACTTTTTCATTTTAATTTAATGTAATTTATCTAACTTTGCCTCCAGTTCAAAATACGAAGGGAAATGATACAAACATAAATACATGTTCTGAAGCAGGGAAACCGAAACAGCTAAGGCCAATTACTGAGTTAATACTAATAAAGTTAGTGTCTTGACAATACATTTAGGAGCAGCACGTTAAAGGACTGAGGAGACAATGGGCGTGATCTTCACGTTTATCAAATTTTCCTGGTACACTAGTAGAGAAGCACTCACTCCTTTCTTAAGAAAATCCGAAGCTTTCTGTTGGGCTTCTTCAATAATTTGCAGCTGTTTGTCAACCAGTTTTCCCGCCACTTCGATTCCCTTATCGATCACAGCTTGTTGGACTTGTTCGTTTCCCGCTATTTTTGTTAATAAACCTGCTACTGCAGCTGGATTTCTTTTGGATGCAATCACATCATCACGGTCGACAGGCTTAGCATCGGGAATCGCAAGAGGTTTCTGAATGACTAGAAAAAAGAAATATATATAATTAGGGGCGGATCCAAGGGATGTCCTGCGTTATACCGGACACCCCTCTAACGCCGTAATTGCTCTTACGTTTTTTTAAAGTGATACATAATATCTCTATATACATTCCTCCATTTCGGACACCGGTACCCCCTAACCAAACCTGGATCCTGGAAATAAAGATATATTAGTGCAATAATATTGCAATAAACACTGCTGCGGGGTCTTGAGTAACTAAGTTAGAACAATGGACGTTCTTCTAATTTTGTGCCAACAGTTACCTTTTCCAAGAAGATTATTTATTCTCTTTTCTGGTGGTAGTCTTGCCTCGGCTGCCTTCAAACTCTTGTCATTCTGGACGACAAGACTCGAGGACTCTTTCATTTTACCTTCCAGAGTGTCACTTTTCCTTTCCTCAGCTTTTCCCTGGTTTTCCATCATAATGGAACTGTTGTTAATAGAATGGGATCTCCACATTTGATTTTTGACTCCAGTAAGAGGTACGTTGTATGGAGCAGAGGCGCTGTTTCGGGCAATGTACTGCCGCTTGTCTGGTCCACGTCTATATTGCGTTTCTTTTCTACAGACTAAAAACACTATAACATTAGAACTTAATGACATAAAATGCCCTCTAAGGAGTAAGTGATAAACGCAAGTACTTACGAGAATACTCCGTTAGGAATGTTACCAAAATAACCGCTAATATCAGAGTCTTTGCCATTTTTGACGCTTCCAATTCAGACAAAATATTGCTGTAGAATAAACAATCGTCTTAAAACATCACTATTATTTCCCCAATCATTATCGACATTTAAAACTTGTAATAACGATGGTGTAATAGATAATGGAAATCAGAATATGTGCACCATGCGCATATCTGATGGGCAAGAGTCTGGGTCTTTCGGTTTGTGTATTACCGGAGCCTTCGATCTTTCACGGAAAGCTGAGAAGGGTCTGGGTACGATAATACACGTCCTAATGACCACATGATCACTTTAGATCATCCGTTAAATTTTGTTATGGTTAGAGGCCGGCGTAACAATGCCTGGATAGCTGGGGCGGGGATAGGGGAAGGTGAAATTCAACGCAATCGGACGGCTAAACCAAGCCGGTGACACAAATTTTTTATTTTCTCATTTTACTTTTAGTATACACCGAATAGAAATATGGCGGCCAATCGAAATTACTATTGTTCTGGACTGACTAGCCTCTCATACATATGAACCGGATGATAGTCAGCGCAGAACAATAGATATTCAAATTGATCGCCAGATTTCAATTCGATGATGTACTTATTTGTCATGAAATAAAAACTGCAATGGATCTGTTGCCAGTACACGTCCTTTTAACATAGTTAAACGAAAATGGTAGTAGCTTTATCGAATGACCTGTAGCTTTTACGCTATTCACGTTAGAAAAACACAAAAGAAACGCAGGTACAAGGAGCTTTAAGCGGTGGGCAACAAAAGATGCTATACTTAATATTTAAGCGACTTGTTAATCTAGATGAATAACCTGCAACTGCTATTTAATTATCAAGGTATTTAAAAAAAAACACTGGTTCGAGAGAAGGCAATCAATTGGTCATGTAAGTTCCGTTTAATTAAAAACGAGAGATTTGCCAAGCTTGAAATGGGAACTTAGTAATAAATAACATTGAGTGGCGTTTGTTTGATGTGTTTTCTTTCTCTCTTTTTTTCTTTTGTCTCGTATCTACTTTCGGTGCGCATTTTTTTTTTTTAGAAGAGCGAAGCAAATTTTAAAAAATCTTTGAAATTCTTAATAGTGTATTTACTTAATGCTTTTAATAGTGCTCTGTGATTTTGCTTCTCTTAACTTTGGGTTTGTTTCTTCCACAATATCACGAGTCATTGTTGCATTTTATCAGCTTTGTTTTCAATATATCTTACATCTTTTCAGATAATAACTAGCTTTTACTAGTTGTGACTGTGTTGGTGTTTGAATACAACAAGTGAATAACAATGACTAGTGGTTGCTAGTTGTGACTGTGTTGGTGTGTTGAATACAACAAGTGAATAAGAATGACTAGTGGTTACTAGTTGTGACTACGTTGGTTTGTTGAATACAAGTGAATAAGAAGGAAACGTAAATATCCAGTAAAAACGTTTGTAACTGTGCTGACGTTTTGGACGTGAGTCCGACGTCAGAAGTAAAGTAAAAAAGGCCGTAGTTCCTACTTTGAGAGTAATTAACCTTTGATATTTTAACATACCATTGTCTTCGAGAGCGAAGAAAGGATCTGTGCCTTTTTTTTTTAATTTATTTTTTCGGCTTTGGGTCAGATTCCCCCCCCCCCCCCCCCCNCCCCCCCTCCTTTTTCTACCCAAACTAGCATATATGCTTAGTATCCTTTTCTTGAGACAACCATGATGAAAAATAACAACAACAAAAAGTAAACAATGAGAATGAGCAGTAAAAAGAACAATAAAAAATATCATAACAAAACAACAAAAATCGTAAAAATTAGAAAAAAACAAACAGATAAAAGCGAGATAAAATAGAATAAAAATAAATAAATGAAAATAGTTTTCAATAAAAAGAATTTGGCTGCTTTTGTTATTTCACAGTTGCCTTACACCCTTAAAATGTTTTTGAAAAATATTCAAATTTCTTACTTTAAAGTCACTGATCTAGAAGCCATTTTGCCGATTCCATAGTGCAATATATATACAAAAAAACATACCATTATAGAACAAAGCTCTTAAGTTTTTGCTTACCCGCAGTACTTGTACTCGTGATTTCAACTGACCGATTAAGTGATTAGAATCTTTCAAAAAGGTAGAAATAGTAGCCCTGTTAATTATTCATTAGTTTTTGAATAATTGACGAGGCCCTTATGATGACTGGTTAGTAGAAGGGCTTGTAAACATCTTGAATTCATAATGAGAGAAAAGAGGAAAAAATAGCCGTTTAACTTAACTTTTTCCTAAATTATCATGGTTTGGTAACCCTGTGGTGAGATATCAAATTTACTGTGAACCAGCTCACCTCAGCATTTTAATCAAAGCCAACCCAAAATATTTCTTTCTTTCCAAAGTTAGGAAAGTGCCAACAGCTCAATGATTTATCAAATTAATATTTTTACGGCAATTACTCTGACTCAATTATCTCGTGCAAATCATACTAATATTCTAGTCCATGAATTCAAATCATGAAAATTCGCACGCTTTTGGATGAATGAGTGGCAGCTTTGTCCTTCTCCTGGCATATTTTTGCTCAATGAAAGTTTATACATGCGAAATATTGAGAGTATACTGTGCTAAACATCCTGAAAATAGCTACGAAAAGGTCATGGGTTCAGATCTGTCATATCTGGATAAAGCAGTTTATCCCTAAAGATGTTAAGAAAGCTGAAAAACAAAGACAAAAACGGAGTTCGGGAATGGAATAGAAAGATAGCCAGTTGTACCGAATTACACTAATATTTCAGTAAGGACTTCAAAACTATTAATCTCAATCAACTGCAAACTATTTCTACATGCTTACCTGAGCTCATGTATCTGTCAAGCCTTCGCATTTTCAAGCCTGGAATCGTGTTCTTGTTTTTGATCCTAGAATTCAAGAGTTTTCTTCGTGGCTTTCATTCAATGGATCTCAGTTATCAACTCAGGATTCCTTGTCAAAGCAAGAAACAATTAGAGTATCGTGAATAACACAGAAGTGGGGAAGCCAAAGTTGGTCCAGGAATTACTTGGTGAGTCTTCAAAAGTTGGTAGCTTTGTTTTGCAGTTTTTTATCTTTTCTTTGTTTATAAGAGGTTAAGAGCAGTTCTGTAAGTCTTCACTAGAAGATACGGCCTTGAGGCCATTGTTCGTTTCCAGTTCCCTCTCCCTTCTTATTTGAGCAGCTACTTCTTTTTCTTCTTATTTTTTCCTAAAGATTTCTGCCTCACTTTTGTTTATAATCTCGTTTGAAGGTGATAAGCAAATAGTTAAATGAATTACAGAAAACATGCACCTTTCAAAAAAAAAGATGATTGAGAGATTGATATTCAAACGTTTTTTTAAATAGTTATGAGATCTTTTAGTCATTAATGTGGAAAATGAAAGATGCATGCTACTATTGATTTCCCACTGTCTTTTTGCACTCCCAACGTTGCGCGTGGACATAAAACGTGATGTGAACACTGAAAATATAGCAACGAGAAGAAATAGAAAGGCCCCCCAAAAAAGCAAACTCGAGCCATGTGCATTACAAGTTGCTTTGCCAATCATAAACCGAGATCGTGAATATTTCCGACCTAGCAACGTGCACACCTGACCGGGACAGCATTATGTCATGACGTTATCAGTACATTGTTTCTAAATTAAAACTATTCGAAAAAACTCTAGCCGTTCCAAGCTTAACCGAAAAGTGCAGTAAAGCAGAGTTTGACTAATGGCCATGCATCGTGGGTCGTGGGTGGGTTAGTGGGACAGAAATATCATAAAAATGATTATAAAAGTAAAATTGTTGATTGAGATGTAATGATATATGAACGCCTCTAATATAATTCTCTCTACACAATACTTGAATTTAAATATGGATTAGGGTGAGGATAAGGATTAGTTTACCGGTCCCCAGTTCATACCCTGTTTCAAAAAGACAGTCTCGGCGGACTGTCTATGCCTTGTAACCGCGATGGTCAAAACGAACGAAACTAAGATCAAGGTGAGATACTGGAGCTTGATATCCCTTCTAGTGGCTGTTTTGTCAACTGTCACATATATGGAATGAGCCTCCCTCATTTCTATTCATCCTAATCATTCATCTCTGTTATCCCTCTTCTTCCCATAGGTTTGCGTAGCAGTAGTGCTCTTCCCTCTCAATTCTGGGATCATGAATTCAATTCATTCCTGGACTTGGAACCACGTGTGAGTAGATTTATTATAGATCCTTCCTTGAATTTAGGGTTTTCTCTAAGTTTTCCGGTTTTCCTCTCTCCGCAAAACTTAACAAGCTCAATTCGAATCTGGCGGTCTGAAA